TCCTATCATTACACGAGCGTTTCTCCCTGCTGGTGTGTCTTCTCCCAGACCTGGTCCACTCTTGCCATTTTCTGCCAAGAGCAACGAAACATAGTGTTCCGAACAGAGGTGTGTGCATGACGCTCATTCTTAGGTGTGTTAACGCCTATTTAATTCCCATGATGTTTTCCATTTTGAATCTCCTGCGAGCACCAGTGTGTTTTGTTTAAAAGCAAACCAAAACCAGCCTAATTTAACTTTAGAAAAATACTAGAATCTCATATTTCTTTAGGATGTAAATTATACGGAGTGTATTATTTTGCATTGCTCATCAGTTTTGACTTTTTAGATTAATATTAAATTAGATTCATTTGACAATTTTGCTTTTCAATGTGCACGAGATTTAGATTGTAAAAAGCATGAACGCCAAGATATTTTTTTGATGAAGTGGATCTAGTGTTATTGAACAGGGTATTGTTTCCACCAGGAAAGGTAGGTGTTTGTAACCCCGAGTGCATGTTTGTTTGCCTAATAAAGTGCTGAAGGGTGTGCAGGACAGGTGTGGGTTTGGTTTGCATGTTTCTGACGAGTGGTTTGTGATGAATCATTCCTGCACTCAATTCTCACCGATGTTGACAAAGCTGTCAGTAAGATTTAAAAAAAAATGATAGCACCTCCTCTTACAAGGATATATAAATCCTGTCATAACAGCAAACATGCAAACTCAATATAAAGCAGTAGTTGGACCTCCTACAAACACTAAACTGCTTGGAAACTCTTTTGTGATGGGGTAGTGATGATTCATTCTTTTCAGCTATTATTATATTGCTGCAAGTGAAGATCAGTCTTGCATCACAAGATTTAAAGCTTGGCCCTGTTCGAAGAAGTTTAACCTAACCTAACCCCCTGTTGGATGCCCGTACCTAATGTAACTGAATCCACCAGCTATTATTAATAGAAAATATGAGGTAGTCATACAGGACTGACAACGATTCATTTATTGATTTGGACTAGACTGTGCTATTTGGTTCATGTAACATATTGTAGAACCACCTCTTAAGTGTAACACACCTTTCATTGTGGAAATGAAATTGCAACTAATTGAAAAATTGAAAACCATATCGCATTCATTAACAACAAGTCAAAGAGTATAGTTTAGAAATAATTACAAAAACAAACTGCCATAAAACTCTGTGTCTGTATGTTAGTAATTATTTGATTGCATTTGTAGTGTATATCAGCATATTGTTCCAATTTGTAGGCAATGAAACCATCGTTAAAAGTTCATTAAAAATTAGAAATGAGTTGAAAATGAATGATTTGGCCTCATAGAGATGAACTACTACTGAAGGCTACTCCTGTGGACACATTGTAGCCCATAGGTGTTGGTGGGCTTGTAACAGTAGAGGAGGTAGAGGAAAAAAACTTGGAACACTCTGTAAGCTGTTTGGAGCAGAGAAACCATAGAAGAATTAATTAAACCAAGGTTTTTCTAGCAGCTTAACGTCTGTTGAGACTGATGTGTGCTGATGTGTATTGTAGTGTTATGGAAGACACTATCTACAATACCTGTGGCCTCTGGTGCATTGTCACCTGTCACGTGCAGTATCAGCCGTGAAATATGTAACATTAGCTTTGGACTGTCATGCCATATTTTGTTCTTTCCCATACTTTCTGGTGCCTGTTCGCATTAAAGATTTATTGTAGATAATTCCAGCCCACAAAAAAAATCTAGCCTTTATCTTTATATTAAATGCACTAGTTGACAGATTCTGGTATCGGGACTAACGTGAGCAGTTACATTTTATTGGTGGTGTTGGCTCTCCAGGTTTTTGTCTTGGGCATTTGTCAGACTGTGGGTTTTGTTAATTTTTCAGCATTTAATTCCCTTCTGTCTTTGTTAAAGAAGAAAATATTTAATTCAGTTATAGTGTGGCTGAATTTGGAGAGCCCTACCAAAACTAAACAAAAGAGCTGATCAAGGAATCATTTGCAAGCTACCAGAATACAAGAATGATGTCAGTTACATTCCTCATTGCTGCCAGGTTCTGAACTTATCATCTTAATGACTTTGCGAGGGGGAAGGGAGTGACTGGGTATCGTTTGTTTTTTCTTTATTTTTGCTGTTGTTAAATGCATCCATGGAGGTTAATTTGCATTGCATCTTTCTCTTAAAAAGTAATGCTGCAAGTAGCTTTTTGGGACATTGCATTTAACCATGACTGTTTAATTTTTGTAAATGTTTTAAAACTTTCTGATAAATAATTTAACTAACATTTTAATTATACATATTTAATTAAAATGTTATTGCTTTTATTTCTGGTAGGAAAATAAACCAGTAAAGTCTAGATTAACAAAATAAATAGCTCCAGAACTTCACTAATATTGGTGGGATGTACAGTATGTATGACTCTTAATTAGGCCTAATTTGTGTTCATTTATTTAAATCCATTTAATTACTGTATATGTACAGTGATGTGAGATTTTGCTTGGGCTGGTCTCCCAGTATTGCGTAGACACTGGATCATTGCCTTTTAAAGGAGGGATTTAACTAATGGATTTAATGGGGAAGGAAATTGCCCTTTTTTCTTTAATCATAAGAAAGCAACAATGAGAAAATAACATGATAAATGTTAGATGAATGCTGAACCAGTTTTTCTCCAGGAAATTTTTAGTTACTATATTAATATTTATTCCTACTTTTTATTAACTGTAAAAATGAGAGATATGCTATAGATCTGAAGCATGCTACGCCTGTTTTTCCTCTTCCAAAGATTTTGGATTAAAGCTCTAAAACATGTGCTGACTATGATCTTTGAGGGCTTCCAGTCCAGACCTAGAAAAAGGTTAAATCAGTTGGTTTAATTTTGAGATTAAGAGATTACCTGGAGTACAAGCCAAAAGGCCTCAGCAACCCTCAAGTTACCAGTTATGCACTCCTGGCAGAGAGAAATCTGGACCCCTTTTTCTTCTGTGTGGCTTTAGTCCAGAGACAGTGGCCTGGGTTCGCCTGTTGCAACAGGATACCCCCATCATTCTCCCATGACCAGAATGATGGTGATGGTGACCAGATTAGGTGACCAGATTATCATGCAGACCCCGCCTGACCCTCCTCTGAACCTGATTGGTACATTCGTTTCCACAGCACGATTGGTCAGTTATAGGTTCACAGGCTCTCAGGTGATGTTCAGTAGCATTAGGGTTACTCTTAATAAGATGTCTGATCGGTTATTATCAGATTAGGCAGGAGCGCAATTGGTCAGATTTCTGTCGCCCGATTGTTTCTCTGCAGCAGCCAATGTGATCAGGTTCCTGATGCACTGCAGTACCGAATGCCTTGTCAAGATAAGATTTTGGCTTCCAAAGTCACTTTAGCCCTGCCCGCATTCCAAACTGTGCTCGAACTTTTGCAATATTTAGGAACATTGATCAGTGGTTGCAGACACTTGGTGTCAGGGGTGAAAGGCCCAGTCATACCCAGTCCAGCTCATAAAGAGAGCAGTCTCTGTCCAGCAATTACCTCAGATATGCTGCTGAGGGAGACTGAGCGACGCCTGTCTAGTCTTTGATACTGCCTCTTGTGCAGCAGGAATTTTGTGCAAAAGGTTTTAATTGACCGAGCATCATGGAAGTGCTTGGAGTGCAATTCCTGAGGGGTGAACCAATCAATTAGATAAGTACCTTGTGGAAATGTTTCACGACAGGAAAGGGATTTTTTTTCAGACTTGTAGGTCATCATGAATCCCAGCCATGTGCTGAGTCTGCATGCCATCATGTACGTGTCCTAATTAGGTAAAATTAAATGTTATGGATTGTATTCCAATATAATTACATTGAGTTTTTTGTCATTTTGGCATATTTTTGGTATGTTAATTTTTAGTTATTAGTTTAGTATGTTAGTTTAGGAATTGGGTGCTTCTGTAGGAGATTTGGCATCCTTAAGTTAGACTGTTTGGACAAGCAGAAGAAAGTCATGCATTACAGATTTACCTTTCTGGTGCTAGTTTGAGAAGAAATGGGTTGAGAATATGTGCCTGGGAAGTGAAGGGCTGTGGAGAGTGATCTGACATTGCTCAAGGCAAGGGCAGGGCTTAGATAATCAGACTTTTGGAAATTGAATGCAATGGTCAGTTCTTTTTTCTTCTTAGATCACTTCTCCCTGTAAGATGAGGTTGTGTAATAATACACTATTAATACACAGTATCGGTATTAATATACGGTATTATAATATACAGTGTACATGCTGTATGTATAGTGTAATGTACAATTAATTTGACACTTTAATACATTTACAGTTTGCAATTACTTTTGATTATATGCAGAAACAGATACCAGTTTATATACCTTGCTTTGCTGAAGAGATTTGGGTAAATTACATTTCTCAAAGGAACAGCAAGGTGTCTCCACATGAACCCACAACCTCCTTGCCAGAGCACTGTGTACTATGTAATATGGTTGTAAAACACTTGTCAGGGCATCTACTTGGCTACTTCACATTGCTATCCCATAGTAACCAGTGAGATGTCTTACGCATCTGATGAAGGATAGCTCTGGCTCTGACCGGTAATGCAGTTAGCTTGTAGGTACGTACAGTAGGCAGGGTTGTAGGCTCACAGTACGCAAACCACAGGGTTGTTGTTGCATCGCCAGACTAGAATGATTTGGCTGGCTTCATTCCACCTTTCCCTGACAGGCCAAGGTCAACTGTTTGCCTTTGTTTATCACGGCAAGCTAAAGAAAGACCAGTTTCTTACCAGCAATGTCTGGACCATAAGGCCTTTAGTGCTTAAGTTACTTGAGAGTTCCCAAGTATCAAAACATGAAAAGTGGCATATTTCTTCCTGAGGCATTGCTAATGGATTGTGCTGGATCAGAAAATACATCCCGGCTTGAGTGTGTTAAGGATGGAAAAATTAGTCCCCTTGCTATTAACGATACGTTCTGCGGACATTCAATGCCATGTGATGTTTGTTCCATAAGTGTTCTCACCACTCTTCTCTTATTGGTCCGCTGTCTTGCAGGAGGCATCTTCCAGAGCTCCGCGAGTCGGGATTGGCTGGCTGGCGGGCGTGGCCGGCGGGCTGGCTCCTCCCCCGCCCGGTGGCAGCGTGCGATCTCCGCCGACCCCCTGCGCCCCCCGCTCGCCCGGTCTGCACGCCCGAGCCCATGCCCAGAGTGCCTCGCGGCCCGCCAACGCCATGTGCCTTTCGCACACCATGGAAGTGGGCAAGCACGGCGCGAGCCAGGGGCCAGGCAGGCGTGGCGGAGTGCTGCTGGAGCCTTTCGTGCACCAAGTGGGCGGGCACACCAGCATGATGCGCTACGATGACCACACTGTCTGCAAGCCTCTGATTGCCCGGGAGCAGAGATTCTACGAGTCTTTGCCACCTGAGATGAAGGAATTCACCCCTGAGTATAAAGGTAAGCCCTGGGCTTCGTTCTGCACTCCTGGCACTACCAGGACACGCAGGTCACTTCGTAAAGCAACACTCCTCTTTCCCAATAGGCTGCCTGTACCTTAGCTCGCTTAACTCGATTCAGCTGTACCTGAATCGCACGGTAATCTAATACGCCAGTGTAACACTCTTTTACGTAAATAATTTGAAGAGACGATGGAAATTAATCTTTTTGTTCTTGCACAATCTTTAGTTCCGTTTAAAAAAAAATACTCATGAGTAGCTCAAGTAGGGAGCTGCGTCAGCATGTGTAGGCTGTAAAGGAACAAGAAAAGGTTTATTCCATGCTGAAAAGAGAAGAAGAGAAACACAATGTTTGGAAAACACCGAAGAAGGCTCCACAGCTGAAACGTTGTTTCTTCTCTTCTCCTTTCAGCATGGAATAAACCTTTACTTGTTTCTTTGCATACTCATAAGTAGTTTGGCATAGTGCTGGCGAGCTTCATTCTGCAGCATAATACCAGATCAGCCTTAACAAATCTAACTAATTTCCTGCTCTACTTCTAATGTTCAGAGCTTAACTGATGGCAGGGTAATTATGATCCCCTCCTCATTGTTAGAGCCTGTGTTTTTTGCCAGATGAGTTAAAACAAAGCTCAGAGAACTATGTATTGCTGTTTGGTGGTTCTGTGGTCTGATAATAATTTGGAGTATAGGTTTATGTGCGGTTTCGATTTTGTGAGTCAAATCATCGAGACGGAACACCTTGTCCTGTAAGGAGAAGCTAATAATTGGTTAAAGGCATAACTCGATCCAAGACAACCAATATGCTCAGAATAAACATACTTTGATTTTGATGCAATAAATAGTATTTGGGATAAAAATCTTGGTATTTTTAATGAATAGTCACTTGAAAGGGTTTTCTTTTAGTTTGCCTCCCCTTATGGAAAAATAAGCTTCACCCTGTACTCAGTTCAGTTATACATTTATTTGGCCATAGCAACCATGAAATGTTAACTAATTGTGCTCAGATTATTTCAGCTTTTGATTGCATAAGCAACAAGGGCAAAATCTCTAAATTAATTGTTCATTTTTTGCAAACATTGTCTGCTTCAAATAGGTCTGCAAATACTGCCTCTTGAGTGAGTGTGATGGATTTGAATAATTCCTTTCAGCTTCATTTTTGGATTTGGTGCTTTACTGCATGCATCCTTGGTCGTTATATTGGTAGGAGTACATCAAGTAAAGTTGACCTCCAACAAAGGCTCTGGCACCAGCTGGTGCATTTAGCCTGCAACATCTCCCAGCTTTTAATTAAGGGCTGAAGCTGGCACAGTGCTTTTTCACTTATTCTCTTACTGGCTGTGAACATCCCATTATCTGGCAGTATTGTTGAGGTAATCAATGCTGAGCAAAAGCAGACTTGTAGGCCAGGTGGAACTTTATACCATTAGAGATTATTATTTGCAAATTCCCCAATGTTAAATTATAACAAGAAAACAGACCTTTTTTTTCTAGTCAGTGCTGGCAGTGCCCTTGCAGGTTCAGGTCTTTGTTCTGTATTAATCGAGCCAGAGATCAGACTGGCTGAATTTATGAGATGCATATTCTTTTTAATAGAGAAGAAGAGGCTAATATTAGCTGTAGGAGGTCTGCTGAGCAAATACCTTTGAACAGGTCATCAGCAGCTTCGTAAAACGTTTTATCATTTTAATGCAGACTAATACTTCCTTGCCGAGAATGTAGATCAGCTTTATAGCGGTATAGCAAATCATTTTAATGCACCCCACTCTCTTAATTCCAAGCGAGTGCTATTTCAAAGTTTCCGTCAGAAATGTTTTAAACAAAAATATTTCCTTACATGGGATTGTATAACATTCAAGCAAATAGAGTGGTCAAAGTAATTCTACACTCACTCAGTCGCATTAGCCATAAAGGTAGTGTCTATGTTGTGCTGAAATGAGTAATTAAATAAAAGTGTCACTCCTGTACTATTTCCAGAGTGGGGCAAACAAATTTACTCTCCCAATTTTCCATTCATTGACTCTTCTGCTCCCATGTAGCCTATCTGTCGCTGATAAAAATAGCCTATACCCACAAGTTTGGCATTGTTAACACATGACAATAAGGCTGGTGAATTATCCTCATACAACAAAGGTATGACTGAAATGGAGAATGGATTAAAAATAGGACAGCAGGGGAGTGGCCAGTCTGTGTGTGTTGTGTTGGCATTGCAACACAATTCTGAGCTTCCTTATTCACACAGTTTTCACAGTTGTGGTTAGAAAAGTAGATTTGTTTAAAAAAGGCAGGGCAATTGAAAACACAAATCATGTAGCATCACACATGATATTTTTTTGTTTTGGAGCTGATATACAGTTATGAGTTAGAAATATTTTGAATTTTGTTTAGGCAAACACTCATTTGTTCCTTTAGGTTTTATTGTCTTTCCTGGACAGGTGCCCTATGGAGAACATAGACTAACCTTGCTTGGTCAGCCTGAGTGCTTCTGTTTTCTGTGACCTGTTGAGTTAGCATTGATGCTCAGAGTACATTTTAACCTACAGCAATCAGTCAACCTCCTTTTGACTTTCCTCTTTTGCAGATCCAACACTGTAATGATCATTGACGTTTGCAGTCTTTACTGTGTTTCCCACTAAGTGTTTAACCTTGGAAAATCATAGCCCAGTTACTGTCGGTCTTAAAAAGATGGCTTTAAAAGATTTCACTGCTACTTGATTGATTCAGAAGAGAAGCAATGGGAATAGAATGGCATAATTCACACTTCTTGTTGAGGAAAGTCATCTCATGTGCTTGGTCTTCAGGACGGTAAAGTCTTGCTAAGGGTCTTGCGTGCTTTGATTGTAGTATCATGTATTGCAGTACTCTACAAAGGCAGCAGGGTTTTACATTTGGAATAGTACTATCATTGGCCTGAAAAGAGATGTTTTCATCCATTAATGCCATATGAAGTAAAGCAGTTTAATAATCATTTTAATTAGTGGGGTGAGTACTTTTGGATACTGCTGGATTTGTCTTTATCGGGTCAATAATTCTTGCATTTCTAACACTGCAAGGCTCTTGATTGGGAATATGTAATCATATTGAAGTATGTTTTTGTGGCTTGACCGAATAATCCAGGGAAATATTCCATTTACTCCGACTACTACTTGGATTTTTTCATGATACTGCTGATCTAGCTTCAAAAGGGTGTGGAGGGCATTCCAGTAGAAAAATGCTTTAATGGTAAAGAAAATGGTCACTACAGGCTTTAATAACTGTGTCAGACCAGAGGGGAAGAATCCAGTGAGTGGGCTTGTTGTTTGAATATTAGGGGAGGAGAAAGCCTAATTCATCTACAAAAATAGCTCAACAGTCAAAATCCCATGACAGATTTCACTGGAAACACATTTTAAAAGCTCCACTAACTGCGCACTTCGCCTGGTCATGGATAGGCAGGGTTTTATTTGTCATGTTTGTCATTTGTACTTTGAGAGCAGCCTGACTGACTGTGTGAAAGTGCACTCAAAAGGAGTTTGCCCTTCTACGATTTAACCTTTCCGCGCTTCCCTGAGCGCCCGTGTTGCACAAAATCTGGCATCGAGAGATGCCCTACCCTGCGATCAGCTGCTGGGGGGAGATCTGTCATTGCAGGAAGAAAGGGCAAGTACGTGTTCACCTCAGATCTGGGCTCCATCTCTTTAAAACCACTGCAAAACAAGCTAAGACGCCAAATCCTTAGGCTCATTAAACTGAGCCTTTAGCCTTTCCCGAATTAGCCGCTGTGTTCGTGTTGTGGTCCACACCCCCCTGATCCTGGCTGCATTTAAACTGCACTCTGACATCAGCCTTGTCTCCATTCATTACTTCCCCATGCTGGCTGTGACATCATCAAGGAGGGATCAGAGAACAAAAAGGCAGCACTTTGCCAGTCAGCAGAAAGACACTGGTTTATTAACTCTCCCCTCTCCTGCCCTTTTCTAATGAAAGGATGCAGTGCTACTGCTTGGGATAATGGAAAGCACAGTGAAGTGACCTTGCTGCTCAGCAGTTTTTCATTATTTCAAGTCATGCGATCTTGTATCTAGCCTGTATTTTTAACCTTTTTGAGGTTTTCCTGTTACGTTAGTGTTTAAGCTTCCTGAAAACGTAGCTGCCTCTGAATGAAAAGGTAATATTTCTCATTGGTTGAATTTTTTCCACATTTATTGTTACGATATACCACAGATGTACAGGTTTTTTTTTTTGCTAGGGAAGCTATATTGGTTGCTACTGTATACACATTTATATATTACAAACCTGCACATGCAAAAAAAAGACATTTAAAAGACATTTAACAGTGAACTATTATTCTTATACATTGCTTTTCGGAATATTACATTCTTGGTATTTTAAACCACAATATTGTTTTCCAGCCATTTTATGGCTGAGGTCACATTACATAAATTTGTCCCTTAACAAGTTAAATCAACTTGATCAATTTTAGGAAAGTGGTAAAGTACAACGCCCAACCAGACATTGAGAGTTATTTAACTTTACCGTTGCAGACTGTTAATAGCTTTTTGTGTTAGTGATTGATTCTGTTCAATTGCACTTGTGAATATAGTTGGCTGTATACCAGATTAGATGACTGCTTTATCAATTAAATTAAAGGGAAATTTTAGGTAGTCAAGGTTGTAGTCCGAAGTGGCATTTACCAAGGGCACTGGGGTTAACACGCTTACTCTTACAGTGTAATGGCATCTTTAAAGACTAGTTAGTCGGAACCTCAGTTTAGCATCTTATCAAAAGATCGCATCTTGTACAGAAGACTGTCTCCTATCATCGTGCTAGGGGCATTGATTTGGAAATACTGATCCAGAGGGAAGAGTGCTACCTACTGATCCACCAACATCAAAAGAGCAACCTCATTTTCCTTCGGGTCCTCCCATTCTGTTGTTGATCAGTCTGAGCTCCTTCAGGAGTGGTCAGCTCTGAATTCACATCCCAGCAGGCTTTATGGGTCACCCTCGTATCATCAGCTTCTAAACACTTGGCACATTTAAATAGTTTTAGCATTATTTTCAATGAAAATACCTGAAAATTAAAATTGAGCTATCCTGTATCTCTAAATGATAATATTCACCCATTTGTGACTTAATGGAATTAAATCAACCCATCCCTGTATTAGGTCAAATTCTTAATTCTTAATCCCTGTCTCCAATTTTGACAGAAGGCTCAACACGATGTATTATACATGAGAGATACTTGGAGTCAAAAGGAGATGTTAATGAAGATCATCCCTAGAAATGGGCCTGAATTTATTGAATTAACTAAAGAGCTACATTCATCTACTATAAAGGTCCCAGAGGAAGGAAAACTGGGCTTTGGACAATGTTTTCTAAAGAAAAAAAGTGCTGGCTGTCTTTTCTTGTCTTACCATATAGTTTAGAAGTGAATTACATAGTGTTGTTTGCGCTAAAAGGAATCGTTATCGTCAAGACAAAAACCAGAAATTGAAGCTAGAGTTGTTTTTGGCGATCAGATGTTTTTATTGTTTAATCCAAACACTGAAGAACAAGCAGTATGAGAATGTAATGTAAAGGTAAGATTTTCATGATTCTGTGGCAGACTGACCAGCCTGGTGCGGTAACTCAGGTTCTCGGCAGATAGAGGTGCTCCCTGTGACTATGCTTGGCTCGGTTCCCGCCTGCAGGCATGGTGCTGGTGTGCTTTGAGGGCGACAGCGACGGCTACATTAACCTGGTGGCGTACCCCTACGTGGAGACGGAGGGCCTGGACCACGAAGACCTTCCAGAACGGGACCAACCGCGCAGGAAGCACTCCCGGCGAAGCCTGCACCGCTCCAGTAGTGACCACAAGGAGGAGCGGGCGGCGCACGAGAGCGACAGCACTGAGAGGTGAGGACCAGCCCCCCCCCAGAGCCCGACTGTGCGTGCCTTTATCGAGGCGGGCAAAGGATCTGTTGCAAGAGCTGGGAAAAATGACAAGCCAAGTCTGTTTAATAGTTCTGCTGAGGTGCGCAGAGAGGCAGTATGAGATTCTCACATTCTGTTGCCTTATGACAGCATATGAAGCAAAAGCAAGACAAGACAAAACTGCTTGTTTGTTCTGGTCTTTGGCCGTTCTGCCTGTTGTCTCTACCTCGACTAAGGAAAATACGTGTTCACACTGAGCCGCTGATTTTCCAGGCGATGTGTGGAAGCTGAAGGAAATAAGTGAAATAGAAGGGCAAGGATCAGTTTTGAAATGAGAATGTAGAACATTATGTGAATGTGTGTGCTGGGGATTGATTGCTGATTTGTTACTGCTGATCCTGGGGAGCCCATATCGTATGCCTTGCACCCCACAGCTTACAGGAGCTGAAGAGCCCTCGCGTGGAGCTGCAGATCCACTCAGACGTGCCCTTCCAAATGCTGGACGGCAACAGTGGGCTGACCTCGGAGAAGATCAGCTACAACCCCTGGAGCCTGCGCTGTCACAAACAGCAGCTTAGCCGCATGCGCTCCGAATCCAAGGACAGGAAGCTCTACAGTATCCTTTCCCAGTCTCTTTCTTTTCATCGCTAGACCGGCTACCTCGCAAAATGTCCAGCATGCCAAGCTCACTTCCTAACTGTGTTCCCCACCTTTCTACATGTTGTAGAAACCAGGACTTGGCTAAACTAACCCCAGTTGCGCATGTACACATTCATTCCTGTTTGTTGATGGTCTAGGACTGTGCCCCCCTTGTTTGACAAATGTTATGTTAAAAAGCAAACAGACAAACCATTAAAATCTAAGTAACATTTCTTATTTGACAACAGCTGTTTGTAAAGGCCCTTATTAAAAATAGAGGCTGTGGTGATGGCGTGCTCACTGTACAGCAGGTCGGAGAACACCCAGATCAGAGAGAGCCATCTACACTTCTTTGAATGGTACTGCAGCTACTGTAGAGTTCAAACATGGCTCCAGCTTTTAACATGAGCAGTGCTCTCAGTTTTAAAGGCTATACTGCTAGAGTACAAGAAGATAGGTATCTTTCAGGATTATGTCATTAAGCAGGACAGTCCCAAGAACAAGTAAGATAAGATTTTTCTCAAACTTTGACTTCTTATTTCAAAATGTTCAAACCAAATACTATTTTTGTGAGTGGGCAAAATTCTCAAACATACATCTTGAAATCATTTTACAGAGTATTCCTGAACTTCTTTTAATGTACCTGTGTATCCCTGCACCACTGTAGCTGAGGGTGGCTTTGAAATTGTTACCTTGAAAGTGAATTAGACCCTATAGCCCTGTCAGTCACCCATCAGCCCTGTCAACCCTACAACTCTGTCAGTAACCTGTCAGTTCTAGAGAAGCCACAGATTTAATGACTAGATTTAATCTCTAGGTTTAATAATTAAATCCACTGGACATTCAGGTGCTTGGAGGCAAATTAATTTCTCTTTACTTGAGCTGTGGTCTGATGACTTAATCTTGGGTTGTTTCTGTGGCTTAGAAAGGTAAGGGGAGCTCTAGCATTAGGCGTATTTACTGCTCCTTGACTGCCTTCCCAGAATTCCTGCTGCTAGAGAACGTCGTGCACCACTTTAGCTATCCTTGCATTCTGGACCTGAAGATGGGCACCCGGCAGCACGGCGATGACGCCTCTGAGGAGAAGGCTGCCAGGCAGATGAAGAAGTGTGAGCAGAGCACCTCTGCCACTCTGGGGGTGCGTGTGTGTGGCATGCAGGTGAGAAAACTCTCGACTACACCTTTCCCCTGAGGAGTTAGAGCTCCACTGTAAGTTACAGAGATCAATTCAGTGCAATTTATTTTCATATTGCGCCTTTCACAACAAGGTTGCCCCAAAGCACTTAACAAAGCTGTGTGACAATTCATGACATTACAATACAGAAAGAGAAACAGCCAGAAGACAACGGAGGAGAGGAACCAAAAACTTCCAAGTTCCAAGGTTCCAAGGTTATCTTGCTTCCCAACACCTCTGGGCATGCTAACATTATACAATTCTAAAAAAAGTACTTCATGTGGAGTATTAAGTCTTCCACCATGTCCTTCTGTGTTCCAGTACTCCATGCAGATCTCTGTTGACCAGCAAATCCTCCTAAGTGATAGCTGTTATTCGCGATGTCCCTCTTTGATCCATGGCAGTGGTGCAGCATCCAACTTACATGTGGGGAGCAGAATAGGATAGTTTGGTCAGAACACACAGTGGCATGTACAGCACCACCACTAGCCATAGTTGCAACGAGCTATGATGTAAGGTGTGAGTAGGCTAGGCTGAAGTAATAGGTTTTCAGTCTGGATTTAAGAGATTGACTAGGCATCCCCTACGTAGGCCAGCAGACTATTCCATAAACTAGGGGCCCTGTAGCTAAAGGCTTTATTGCCAGCTGTTTTTTATTAATATGTGGAATAAGAAGAAGACCTGCGTTCTGTGATCAAAGTGAGTGACTTGGATTGTATAAATTAACCAGCTCCATTAAATAGACAGGAGCCTGGCCTCTGAGAGCCTTATAAGTGAAATAATTTTGAAGTCTGCCCTTTCAACACATTCAACAGTCAGCGCGATTGGCATATGATTGGGTAGATTTAATGTGTAATAATGTTTTAGCTTCTCTTTTCATGATAATATCCTTGTTTTGATTATATTGGATTTTTTAAGTGCAATAAATACTATTTTTAATACAAGTAACTTGATTTTTCCTATCAAAATTTAATTGTTGGTATGAAATGAAGAGTAATAATAAATGATATCAGAAATTGCACATTAAATATTAAAGCTTGACACATTTTAAAGATACATTTATTTAAATTGATTTAAAAATAATTTTGTCTGGTAGCAATCTGCAGTCTAGTTGGTTTCTGATTCAGCAAATGGGGCACCACATATTACATATTCAGGATTGTAGAATATGTTGCTGTTGTTTTACGCATCCACAAGGAAAGAAAATTGAACCAGCTTTATTGGTTTTTAATTGGATTTATTATGAAAATCTTTTCCCTGGTCCCAGCATGCTTGCTTTGTGCCTTCATATACACACTTTCCAGCCAGTATCTGTATAACCATGACAGAGCAGCCAGTGCTGAACTCACACATTTTGTAAAGACGGTGGTATTTGGAAATGACTTTCCTGCTTTCTGATGTCTCCCTCCTGCCAGGTTGCACAGAGGGAATGCTAGACAGGCACAGACATGAGTGATGAACTGCATCGATCCCTTTGACGCAACTCAAATTAGGATGAGCTCTGAGGAAGCACGCAGGCACTTTCCCTTTTGTGCTCAGATATGACTTGGATTTTTCCATTGCCAGTGTTTTCTGTGTATTAAGAAAAGTCTGGTGCTCCACCCAAAGTGAAAAATACTAAGACAAGACATTAATAGATGTTATCAGATTGAGTAGTAGCTGTTATAGGTAGAATCGAGATGCTTATTGCAATGTACGATGGTACTGTAATGTAATGGCTTTTAATTGGACTGTGTGCATGAAAAGCAGAGTCCACTGATGCAGAAAAATAAAATTATTATTTTTTCAACCTCTACACCTGTTACGCTGAGTTTCTCTACCTGTGGGGACCCTTAATTTTTTTGACCGTCGAACCTTGCTGAAGTAACATTCCTTTAGAATCTGTCTCAAACAGAGATAAGCACGACGATAAAACTGCACTTCTGCGTATCTCAGAGATGTGTAAAATGACAAGTCAGTATGCTTAGAATAACACACTGATTTCTTCATTTTTTAAATGTCCCCCAGGTATACCAAATGAACACTGGCCACTATCTGTGCAGGAACAAGTATTATGGCCGGGGCTTGTCCATCGAGGGCTTCCGCCATGCACTCTACCAGTTTATGCACAATGGCAGCCAGTTGCGGAAGGACCTCTTTGAGCCCGTCCTGGGCAAACTGCGCAATCTGAAGGCCGTGCTGGAGCGCCAGGCCTCCTACCGCTTCTACTCCAGCTCCCTGCTGATCATCTACGATGGCAAGGAACTGGGGCCCGAGCCCTGGCAGAAGCCAGCCGAGGCATCGCCTGAGAGGGACACCAGCCTCGGCCCCAACCCCGTGGCACACGGCTCTCCAGAGACAACCCAGCTGCCCGCTGACTGTGCCCACCCACGCCAGGAGCCCCCTCCCCCCTCAGAGCCCAAGCGCCCACCCCCCAAAGTGGATGTGCGCATGATAGACTTTGCCCACAGCACCTTCAAAGGTTTCCGCGACGACCAAACGGTGCATGATGGGCCCGACAGGGGCTACGTGTTCGGACTGGAGAGCCTGATCAGAATTCTGGAAGGTATCCGAGACGAGAGCCAGTAGCTGGAACAGATGCCCCGCCCCCTGCTCTCCACCTTCCCCGGAGCCCGCAGCGCCTCCACTCTCATGGAAACGCAAGGAGGCCTTTTCCCAGACAGAAGCACATTTATGTCTGAGGAGGCTAGGGAATGTTGTCTTCCTTGGCAATAAACAGTCTGGAAATGAAGATGTTAAGGGCCCTGATAACATTCACTCTTGTCATGGATCAGCGGGCTAGAAAACAGTAACAACCTCCAGCTAGATCCTTTGCCTGATTGGATGTGGCTTCAGCCCCTAGGAAAATACAGAGACATACCCCTCAAGTGGGCACATAGCCACCATGTGGCCAACACATGTATTTCAGTATATCACAGGCCACGAATAACTAGTCACAGCTCAGGGCAAGTCAGGGGTCAAGCTCTTTCTTCACCATAGGGATGGTGTTGGGGTTGGGGGGCGGGGGGATATAAGGGTGACATCCCTTTAAAACATTTGTCTCAACAGGTTTAAGGTATTCCCATTAGAGTCTGAAAGGGGGAACTTACATGGTAGGAATAGTTTCAAAAGCTTTCCTAGCAGAAAAGTTATCCAAGTTAAACCCAACTCAACATCACGCCACAGCTTTTTTAGAAGAAAACAATATAATACAGATCACAGTTTTTATTTTTTGCAAGTTTTTTTTTCCAGCTTTCCTTTCAGATCTGTTGGATCATTTAATTTACTTTATATATATAGACACATATATATATATACAGTCATGTATAAAAAGGTAATGTAGTTCATCATTTAATCTGATTAGCCTCTCTGGCTTTTCTAGTCTGTATCTTGCAAGCTGCCCCATGTTTTGTTTTTGTTCAGACTCTCCCTTTAAGGGTTTTAGGAGAGCAGTTTAGACTGGTCATCCATTATTCTGGGATTATTCAGCCACTCCTCTGTGCAGAGTGGTTGGTGATCTTGGAAGAAACCGTGTCTTGTAATCGCATGTAGAAGTGAATCAGACAAACTACAGTTACGATGTTTTTTCTTTTGGTGTTTTTGGTCAAGGGGTTGAAAAAAACCGCGAGTCAAACCTTTTAAACTCCATCAGCACATGTAGCAAAAACGAGACAAAACTGATTGTTCTGTTCTGCTGTTCTGTCTGTTGTCTCTACCATGACTAAGGAAGGTCCTTCATTCATAGTGTTGCAAGGGTAGATTGTTCTTTGTCAAAATGAAACAAGTTTGCACTGTAGACAGAACCTCTTTTAGATTGTAGTTTTTCTTTTTTAATTTTGCACTGTCATGTCCTTCTCTGGCATACTGTGAAGTTTAGGTGTGTGGATAATAGGATTATTAAGGAGGTGTGTCATTGAGAAACCACAATCTTTGTTGCAGTCATGTGCATGCACAGTTTTACTCCTGTGCTCTGTTAGCATAAATGTTTTAGACCTAGATTTCCAATTACAGAGGAGTATTAATGATCGACAGATGTCCTTCATGTGAAGCAAATCTTATATGGTACGTGTTGAAATACAGGCCACCCAAGTTGTGACTGTTGTTTTTTGTACTAATTTTTAACTTCAGAAATTCTTTATTTTTATTACCAGGGTGGGCACCAGTGGTAACATTAAAGTTACTGGTGTGAAACCAGAATTTTTATTTCAATAACTGCAAATAAACACTTTTCTTAATTTTAATTTTAAAATGCCGTTTTAAGTGTATAACAGAACTGTAGAGATAGCATACAGATTGTAGTTAGGAAAGGATTCCCCAAAGGGAAAGTCATTCCTTAAGTAATGTACTGTTTCTGACATCTCTTAGCATAGTGATATGGGTGTTGATATTGATGTCTACCATTCCTGTGCTAGCATTCCTGATTGCCTATCTTTCAGTGCCAAAGCTAACTTACGGTCTTCCATTTTGGTGATTTTTCTGAGACCAGCAGAACTGACTACTTTTCTTCAGTGCCCACTGCTTCAGAAACTAATGATTGTTGCTGAAAATTCTCATTTTTAATAACGTTTTAACAATTTTTTCTTCTGTCATTCTGGGGCAACTGGTCTCAAAATTTAGTGAATTTTTAATTGCCTAAATAATATTGCATGGCTTGGACTACATTTCCTTTGAATTTGATTCATAGGAATTCCTTTACGTAGTGCAATCTGCTACAAATCTTCTGGGTACTAGTCTTTTCCAATTAAGACTGTCATGCTTTTGATGTATATTTGCAGTCAAAACTCTTTGGATTGAAAGTTGCATCCTAGTAGACAGATTAGTCATATAGAAACACATACTAGTAATGTGAAATATATATTTTATTCTTTATTTAAAATATTTTAGCATTTCAAAAATAGCCTAGTTTGTGCTGTTTCTTTCTATTGTGGAGTTCAGTCTCTAGTAAAATTGAACTTCTGCTATATGCCAGAGAAGGTAAGATTGGGCCAAATTAAAAGAAATAAAAAAGTCTGCACTCTTTAAAGGGGATCGGTTTAAAGTCATAAAACCCTCCTCTTTGTTGGATGTTTATTGCCAGTCTTTCCATAGAAATGAGTCAGATGATTAGTAGAGAAATATATTGCCCCAAAAATTCAAAGTATCTTTTTTTTGTTGCATGGATGGATATTTTTTTAAGAAGAAATATAAAATGACATCTTTATGACAACTTTGAATGTGAACTAAAACAATTATTTAAAAAAATGTGTCTCATCTCTTTTGTTATTTATGTGTATATATTAGTTTTAGTGATTGACATGCAACACATCTGGAACAGTACACTTAAGAAAAACACTGAAAGATTCTACTACTGTGCTGCACATCAGCAGAACTGAACTGTATTTTAATCTAATTTAATCTTTTATAATATCTGGTGTACAGGGAGCATACATTTTATTTAAAAGGGCCTGAATATATTTTTATATGTTTTTCATCTGGGTCCATTTTTCTAGAGCACCTTAGGGAGTCTTTGGATTAATAAAGGGTGCTACAGGTATATGAATCCATGTTGTTAATTTTGATAGGAAAACAATCTTGCAATTTGAAATTTGGATGTACCAGTTATAAATCAGTCCTTTAATAGGGAATCCTGGCTACATTACATTTTCACACCAGACATCAAATGCCTGTGTCTTGTCATGTCTGGGCAGCTTTATAGTAGTTTATTTTCCGAATGTATAGCAGTGCAAAGAAAGCAGTTGCCAAGCCCAGTGGCATAGATTCATTGTATTAGAATGTTCATGTAACAATGTTAGAGCAATGTACTCCCTAGGATTAAGCCAATAAATGGTTAATAAAAATCCTACCAATGTTTTGCAGCATAACAGCACTGGCAAGTGACAGAAACTGGATTTTATTTGTAATTGCTCATGGCTGAAAATTCTTAGATTCCTATAGAATCTTTCTATAATCTTAATTTCCCTCCATGTCATAGAAATTAAGATTATAGGAAGCATCAGAGAATGTCCTGTTTTGGGTAGTGATTCACATGGAATATGTGCAGATTTTGCTGATAAAATGGGTCAAGGGATCAGAGAATTCTGTGGGTATCGCCACAATCTTCCATGTTGATCTGTTTTGAACATCTTTTCACTTGAGGTGAAAATTGAGATCCCATGAAGCATTCAGCTGCAGCATGGAATTTGTACTTCTGGAACTTACTGTACATATAATTGCTTAAGAATAAGAAACTGGATCAATCGCCTCAAACCTATATTAAAACTGGTGCATTTGAACTCTTCCCTATACCACAAGCTAAAAAATATTTGTATTTTTTTCACTATGCTGCTGCCGGAAAGAAGACTTGGGAAGTAAGACTATATGACGTCAGCAGCCATGTCACTCTGCAACTCACAACTGGCAGCCCAATGAAGCTAAGCAGGTGTGAGCCTGGTCAGTACCTGGATGGAGACCTCCTGGGAAAAACTAAGGCTGCTTACCGAAGAGGTGTTAGTGGGGCCAGCAGGGGGCACTCACCCTGCGGTCCAGGTGGGTCCTAATGCCCCAGTATAGTGACTGAGACACTATACTGTAAATAGGTGCCGTCCTTCAGATGAGACGTAAAACCGAGGTCCTGACTCTCTGTGGTCATTAAAAATCCCAGGGTGTTTCTCGAAAAGAGTAGGGGTGTAACCCCGGTGTCCTGGCCAAATTTCCCATTGGCCCATACCAATCATGGCTTCCTAATAATCCCCACTCTGAATTGGCTTAATTACTCTGCTCTCCTCCCACTGATAGCTGATGTGTGGTGAGCGTTCTGGCGCGCTATGCCTGCCATCGCATCATCCAGGTGGGGCTGCACATTGGTGGTGGTGGAGGGGAGTCCCCATTACCTGTAAAGCACTTTGAGTGGAGTATCCAGAAAAGCGCTATATAAGTGTAACCAATTATTATTGGGTTTAATAACATATTAACTTGCAATTGAAACTAGAAATAGTACATATAAACATTCAAATAATATCAGTGCTGCAAAACAGGTCAGTACAATTAGTTAATATTCCATCCAACTAAGTGCACACAAATATACTAGACAAACTTCTGAACGTTTTTAAAACTGTGTGCAGGCAGATAGTAACTTTTGCTGAATTCTATGCATGTTGTGTCACTTAAAGCATAAGAATACCCATAGCAAATTAAACTTGTAGACTTGCCAGGAATCTTTCCAAGCATCGCCTGGAACATGCAGTTTTTTGAGGTAAGCACAGAAAAAGCTATGAAGTAAAGGAGAAAATACAGTATTGTGGAAGTGTTTTTCAGAATCTATTCATCAAGTATCGCTGAGAGGAACTAATGTTAGAATATTATAACATTATAATACTCATTAATAATAAAACATCTGTGTAACCAAATGACCTGTAGAGCAGCAACACAAACAGTAGTCACATCATTTATCCCTTAAACAAGACATCTAATCAAAAAGATTTTTCAATTTTGATTTTCATATTAATTGAAATCAATTTGAATATTTACTGTACATGATAAGTACAAACATTCAAACATGATGCAGCTTTTTATTCCATAATTAAACTTGAAAATACAGACTCAAATTCAGAAGTGTATCATGTAAACATTATATACTGTATATTTGATTAAGTAATATCTTCTCAGTTAACTCTTTGTCTCTTTATTGACAGTACACTGGTGCCTTGAGGTGGGATAAATAAAAACTAACATTTTATTGATGTCAAAACAAAACCAGATTGATTTCACCAGGTATATAGTCGCTAGAAGTTGCAGTATTAAAATTTCACAGTAAAACATTTTTCTCAGAAATGGTGATGCAATTTTTTCCCATTTCACAGACTAATATAATTAGAAATGGATTACAGCAATGCATCATACAACTTGTTCGATATTGCACCAGTGGTTACAAAGATTAGGTTTTAAGGCTTTCTTTTTCTAGTGAGACTAAGATCTTGGTAAGCTTTACCCTGAAGAAACACATTTTTACCAGTGTAAATCTGTGGCCATTCTCTAAAGCTGTGCTCCTGGTCTTGAAGAACTATGGGTCCATCGGGTTTTCATTTCATCCATCCTCTCAATGTCTTAATTGAATTAATTATTGATGATGGAATTGGTCTTAATTGCAGCTGTTTCTAATCATAGAAGGGTTTGAGTTCCTTGTAACAGTGGTTCTCAAGAATGGTCCTGGGGCACTGTTGGATTTTCATTTATTTTGTGCTCTAGCCAAGTTCAAATTGTATGTGAATTTATTGAGATTTTCTAATATAGGTATGTTATTAGGTTTTCTTTCATCTCATAAGAAGTGAATGGAGTTTCTAACTATCAATTTTGTGCCAATTCCTCGGTTTCAGAGTTATCCAGGTATGTTAACTAAAAATGTGACCAGAGTAACCGAAGAAAAAAAAACTTTAGGTGTGCCTGATGCAATGTCGTGCCTATCTGTGCTCATAATTAAAAGCTTTTAAGACAGAAATAATGGGAATAATTAGGAAGTTGAGGAGAGACTTATAAATGTATATTTGTGGAAGGTGCATATAACATTCTTTAGGGTATTTCTGAAACCAAGGACTTAATGCAGAAAAAAGAATGAACCAGCAAATAGATCAAGCATCCTTTCGCACTGGTTATCGGTGGATTCCCAGTTGGACTTAAAACTGGCACTGTTGTCCTTCGGGACCAGGGGTGAGAACCACCAGCCTATAATAAAGGGGTCACCAGCACTGGTTCTCAAAACCCACAATGGTCTTCATCCAAAATCACTCATTTCTGAAGATCAGGGAGCCATTGTAAGTTAGTGATCAATTAAGCAAGTTGCTTTTAATTCAGGGAACTTTGGGTCTTAAGGGCTCAATTTATGTTCCAAATCATGTGTAAATTACTCTATTCACCAGATTTCCTACAATTTATCACAAGTTCTCCAGAGTCATAAAGATTGATTTGTTACCTATAAAACCGGGAGTAGTATGGATATGCTTTACATTATAAACCCAGGGGCTGTCAGAAGGACGTCTCTGGACCGTATGCATATGGAAAATGAACCCATCCACTGTATTTTCGCATTAAACGTCGCCAATACGAGGTCACGCTATATTTTGCAAGCTAACTGGACTAAAATAAGATTTTCTTGGATTCACCTCGGCGTTCAGAGACTGTTTCAGTTCTTAACATGTAGTTCATTTCACGGTACTCTAAAATACACGTCTTTCTGGTACTAACAATAATATAGGTGTAGTTACAACGGTAATCACTGTATTAAAAGCTCTAAATCTAACCATCTAACTATGGAACCCCTTACCATTATCTTCATTGTCTTCACCCGCCTAATGCAGGGAAGACTAAATCACCAGAATTCTTGTCACGTACCTTTATTTGAGATCGTTTTTTTAACTATGCACTTGCTCAACTTGCTTCTTTCTAATTGGACAAATGGACTAATACGTCATGGGTAACTCGTATGTACGTCAGCAAAAAAAAAAAGACCTTAGTGTTGTGTGCGATTGCTATTGGACAATTCGCACTACTTCCTCCTTGCCACGTTAGTTCCTTGTGATAGGCCGGCAAGCACCGTGGAAGGGGCGCGGTCAAACCAGGATGTACAAAATAAAACACTCGCTGAGGTAATTGTGCAGCCGAAACACAATGCAAAGGAGCAGTAGTGTTATAATCTGAATGATGAGTAAGGAGACTCTGCAGTAATGTGGTTTACTCATCCTCCCCCTTCGCAACTTCCCTATTTCCTCACAACTTGGCGTCCATTGGTTGCTAGGTGACCGAATGGAAGAACCAACGTGCTGATAAAAAGAAGAGGACGTTTTATTTGTTTCGAATTAAGAAAAATCCCAAATATAAATGCCATGTTTATATTAGTCGCTAGATATTAGTATAGGGGCATCTTGCTGCCTTCACCGAGTTTATTCATAATTTTGTTAAAGTCACCTTCCTGCAAAGTGGTATTTCCCAATGACCCCTAACCCCAGATTTCGTAGTAGTTGTTGTTCAAATGCATTGTGGTCTTGTCCCGCCCCTTTGATAGAGTTACTGTGCTGTCAGTCATTCACGAAAGAGAAAACAGTAATATTGTAGTTTATATATTGTGCAAATTATTTAACAGCCCTGCCGTATCGAGATCGCTGTTTTGAGTACACATTCCAGGCCGAACAGTGAAATATCCTAAAGTTTGATACAGCAGGTAAGTGACGAAGTGAGAAGGTTTTGATTCTCAACGGCAAATGTGCTGCTGTATGAAGTTTGCTTTTTTCATTCGGGTTCTGCCTTTATTTTTAGTGTTGTTTTCAGTATTAACTCATCTTAATGTTTTTCCATTTTAGACTTTGATGTGTGCATTCGAAGAAAAAGTAACTGCTGAATGTATTTTTCATCATAGCTCGCAGGACGCTTGTAAATGTGTGCAACAATACTGTACAGTGCTGCATACCAGTTCGTTCAATTACTCATCACAACCTGTGATGGTACAGGTGTTTTCGTTCACTTCATATGCCACGAAAAAAATGATTATGTTTCGGGACTAATACTTTTCAGTTATTACAGTGCACATAGTTTTTAATTAAACCGTGAAGTGCGTCAAATGTAATCCTGCCGATAATTGTTATTCGTGTTTTTTATGAATGAAATGTTTTTTTACACGTAACCAGCCGTGACGTCATGTTTTCAATTCGCTAACTACCTCGAATAACTGGACTAACTTGTTGAACAGACACAGTAGATTGTAGATGCAGTGTGAATCACGATCTCTGAGTCTTCGTCTTCCTGGACATTTCAGGCAGTGAAAGTAGCAATGTTCAAATACATTATATTACATTCTTCTGAACTTGCAAAAAAAACGCCTTTTTTTTTTACTTCAGTGTGTTTTTATGGGTTTTTGTGTCTGTTAAGTGACTTCTGTGTTTGCCACGAGGGTCTTATTGACCTTCTGTTTCAAAATATTTTTATTTCTGTCTCTTGTTCTGTGGTATGATCCATTAAAGGTGAGGTCAATGTCAGTTCATAATAGATGTAATTTCTGCATTACTGTCAGTTTCTGTAGTGTTATTTCATCTCCCATAAACAGAAGAATAAATACAGTGTCCACCGTTCAGTAATTGTGTTGACAGTCTTCAGCTCGTCCATAACCCAGCCTCCATTGTAACCATAGAAAAGTCACACAAATTTGAAGCTGAACTGTGCAATCTGTTTTGCCTATCATGAGATGCATGTCATGCTAAATACATTGTGATTTTTTTTTTATTTTCCACTCTGAAATAAAAAAAATCCAAAGTATATGTTAGCTTGGCTTTACTCTGAATATGGTCTTCTACCGTAAGTTTTTGCCACCACAGAAGGATAATAATAGTAATGTATTATATTATATTATTGGACGCTTCACTCAAAGCGCTTTATTGGTAATGGGGACTCTCCTACACCACCACCAATGTGCAGCATCCACCTGGATGATGCGACGGCAGCCATAGTGCGCCAGAACGCTCCCCACACATCAGCTATCAGTGGGGAGGAGAACAGAGTGATGTAGCCAACTTATAGATGGGGATTATTAGGAGGCCATGATTGATAAAGGCCAATGGGAAATTTGGCCAGGACGCAGGAGTTACAACCTTACCCTTTTCTAGAAACGCCCTGGGATTTTTAATGACCACAGAGAGTCAGGACCTGAGTTTTACGTCTCATCCGAAGGATAATATTAAAGAGCTCTGGTTGAAAAATCAAAGCTGTAGTGGTTCAAGGGCAACAGAAGTTCTTTGTATTGTGAAGAAAATTAGACAAAGAGAAGGTGGTAAACTGATCCTATGTCCTTATTTAGTCCTTCCATACACTGATCAAGACTTGGAAAGGCACTTGAACTGCTGAGGCCGTGGTGACAGGATTATAGAGGGAGTCATGTGAAGTGATAACGGTCCAACAGTTACAGCTGGCATTATGCAAAGATGAAGTTACATAGGGGTGTGTAGAGGGAAAATTGAAAGAGCTGAATGTTCAGTGCTTAGAGGAGATGCCTGCCTCAGACTGAGCCACCTGTCTCTACACCATCTTTCAGGTCAACATGAAAGCGCTGATCTTGGTTGGTGGCTATGGGACAAGACTTCGACCCCTGACGCTGAGCGTGCCAAAGCCATTGGTGGAGTTCTGCAACAAGCCCATTCTTCTGCACCAGGTGGAAGCCCTGGTGAAGGTCAGTACAGATTTTGTGTGATTGAAAGTAATTATTCCTTCAGGAAATTGACTGAGTCCTGCCGATCATCTATGGTGTCCCACCTTTAAAAACAGTGGAAGTAAAATTATCAAGGACTCTGTTAATATTCAAGGTAAGTCTTCAACCATGGTAGGGTGTTTTACTAATAGAAATAACCATTATGTTTTGAAACTTGTTCTTCTGTGAATCTTCATTCCTGAGCTGTTTTTCTTACAAAAAGCTGCCAGTCAAAAAGAAAAATCAGTCTTGTTCTTATGTATTTTTGTCTGTAACCAGAGTAGTTCAGGTTCCATTCAGAGTAGTTCCTTGTGGTATGTGATGGTCTTACCAGTCCAAGGGAAATGGTCTGTGTGCTAAGTGGAGTTTTTTTTGCATTGCTTAGGCTGGTGTGAACCATGTCATCCTGGCTGTCAGCTACATGTCTGAGCTGCTGGAGAAGGAAATGAAGGCCCAGGAGCAGAGGGTAGGTGGCTTGGAAGATGTGAAAGAGAAGGAGCTTATTTCTGGGAATGCTTAGTTTATAAGGGACATGGGGATTCAGGGTGACTTTGATATTCACTGTCACATACTGTATCGGCACTTTGTTCATATTATGACTTTTACAACTAGTACAACTAGTCAGAGGCATATATATAAATGGTTACATTTGAAGGGCTATAATTTTCACATTTGAACATGTACAGTCAATACATGTGGATATATTAGACATAACCTTAAAGGATTACAGTAACATAGACAGCTTTGCTGCCTTACCAGAGGAGCATCTAGTTCCTGCATGTTTATGTCTGATGTTAGACTACCCACTACTTGTGGGTGCTGAATACCCGTATTTAGTGTTTGAATCGCTTTAAAGCGGGACATTTTCGCCGAGCTTCTGTGTTTCATGCCATTTCTTATCTTGCTGTCTCACAGCTTGGGATTCGAATATCCCTCTCTCATGAAAAGGAGCCATTGGGAACAGGTAAGTGAATCAGGAAGGACTGGAAAAATACTAAAACCAGCAACAACAATAATTGCTCTTGAGCACCTTAATAAGTACAGACTTTGAAGACTGAAAGGCATAAAAACGTATGAAAAGGGAAATTCTCGCTTTTTAAAAAACAATATTGTGAGATTAAGAAGTAAGATGTGGTGAGCTGTGCCTGAGAAGCACTTCAGTGTTATTGATATAGTCATATATTTAGCTCAGGATGAATTAATTAATTAAGGATGAATTCCCTCACTGCTGGTGAATAACTGACTTGCTCAGTGATCCACTTTCCCCTTGGTCTAATAACTTGGATAATTTTTCTGAATCTGATTATCAGTTTACCAGAGGATCAAATCAAGTTTTTACTCATTCCTGTTCACATGTGGTTTGCAATGGTGTCGTCAGATAGCAAGCCATTGCCTTTCCAACTACTTTCTGTCAAGACTGGCACAATTAAATGTACCCAACACTAATAAAAGAGGTGAAGACTCTTTTCGTCTGGTGTTTTCGTTAGTCAGATGAACCCATGCTAAAGTATTACATGACCCCAACACCCATGCTAAAGTATTACATAAAATTAAATAAAAATATTGAATAATGAGAAATATTGAATATATAATCTGATCTATAAAAGTAGTTGCATATAAAGTAGTTTGCAATTGTTGAATGTGAATAACAAGAGAGCATCGTTTCAGGACAGAGAACCCCCTTTGTTAAAAACAATGGGTGAACTTGGGCCGTTAAAGGGGACGTCCTGTTTTATGTGCGAATGATTACTGCAGGCTCACTGTTCAGTGGCTGATATTTTGATGTATTTCTTGGTGGGTTTAGTGATGACTGTGTTCATCTGTGTTTTAGCGGGGCCCTTAGCTCTGGCCAGGGAGCTTCTGACTGACAACACAGAGCCCTTCTTTGTGCTTAACAGCGATGTCATCTGTGACTTCCCCTTCGAGGACATGCTCAAGTTCCACAAGCACCATGGCAAGGAGGGCACCATAGTGGTGAGTGACCTCTACGTCCACATCACTGTCCCCTTAACTGCGTATCACCCGCGTTTTGGTGAGGGAACAGCGGGTCAGGAATCTTTTCAGTGTTCCATGATTGGGATCAGCATGGAGGTGAAGGTGTTTAGACTGTGAAATTAGGGAATACCTACTTGTACTCTGTCCCCCACCCTCCACACTAGCTTGTGTAGAGATGACGGTGATAAATCCTGGCCGTACATTCAAGAGAGGGAAACATACTGTATCAATGCCCAAGAGAATGGGCGAAACTGATGTTTGAATGTTGAATGTTTTCAGCAACCAGCTTTTACACTCAGTTGAGTAACATCTTACATACCTGGAACTGCTGTTTCTATTACCCAAACTTTTTTTTAATTGTTTGTTTTATTCTAGCCAGTCTTGACTTTCAACATCACATTTCAATTTCAACAAAGGAAGGAAGTAGAACTAGATGCATATTGAAGTACTGATCCTTTTTTTAAAACTTCAACAAATGAAAGAATATTACACTGACTTCTATAGCTTAAATATAAGACACATAGTATATAACACAAAGACTCTCAATATTACTTATTTTGAAATGCAAACTGGTGAACATGTTAAAAACGTTATGTGACTTTTTTTTTTCTACACAGGTATACGTTTTATGCTCTGTGTGTCTGATAATGCAAGATGTAGTCAAATTCAAAGCAGTTTTATTGTGTTATTATACATCATTGCCCTTGATTATCACATTATATGCAGTCGGTTTGCCCTCTAATTCTTATTCTGAGTGGGTTACTAACAGGTGACATTTTTATAATTGCTAGTGCAGGAATACTTTTGTCGAGGATATTTTGATTGCAGCTCTATATGCTGTTGATTCTTCTTCAGTGACTATAATAAACACTGTATTTTGAAATGTTACCCTGGGCTATATACAGTACTTCCACATTGTGAGGGCTGAGAGTCAGTAGTACTGTATTGTGTACAGGGATCATATTCCAATTCATATAGAGCCGTTCCTGGCTAAACCTCTCTAGCAGGAAGGGTCTGAGAGTGGATGTCATAGAATGCCTTTGCAAATAATGATTGGTCAAGGGTAACCCGAGATACAGTATGATAGGTCTTGCATCTGGTCATCAGCCAGGCCTTGAGGAAGTTGTGTTGTCCTGGTATGTATATTTTGTGAATTAAAAGGCAGAAAAATATGCATACACAAAATGGTTTCATTGCGAACGTTTTCTTACCCATAATGAGAAGCAAATGCTTTCAGACTCTGAGGATGTACCCTAAGTAGAGCATTTTGTTGTTGTTTCTCTGTCCCATAATTTCTTATCCTTATTTGATTTTAGTTTGTGTCTTTTCTTTGATTTTTAATCCCGGTACTGCTCCGTGTTTGTTTTTAGTTTTATTCTTTTGTTAACAAGTTGTTTACTTGTTTTTACCTTTTGCCGTATTCCGTAGACTCTTTGGTTTGAGGTGTGGTGGGGAGAGGGATCCGGGGTCGGGAATTTACTGGGATTTATAATTTGGAAACTGCGTTTGTTTATCTACATGGACTGTTCCCCTGGTAAAACCTCAATAAAAAGATTGAAACTAAAAGGCAGAATATGCATTGTCAGTGCTGTGGCAGTACTTGACTGTTCTGTCATTTGCAGGTGACCAAGGTGGAGGAGCCCTCCAAATATGGAGTAGTGGTGTACGATGGGGAAAATGGACGCATTCATCGCTTTGTGGAGAAGCCCCAGGTTTTTGTATCCAACAAGATCAATGCAGGAATGTACATCTTCAGCCCTACCATGCTGGACAGGATCCAGGTAAGGCCTTTCGTCCTTTTCTTTACCTAAGCAGCCTGCAGAGGCCTTATGGGATCAGATGTGGAGATGCGGAATGGCTTGACTCTGTTGCAATATGACAAACCTGCAGCTGTTGGACACCATTGGAACAGCTCAGGTGTGCCAGCTGACAATTGAATGATGCCGCGTTTTTGAGCTCTACCTGCGGGCAGGTTGACGCTAAATGATGCGTCTTCTCTGTGTGGTCTCAGCTCAGGCCGACGTCCATTGAGAAGGAGATTTTTCCAGTGATGGCTCTGGAGGGACATCTGTATGCCATGGAGCTCCAAGGTGAGCCACCATACTTCCTTCTTGTCATTGTGTGAGTGAGACGGTGTAGGTGTCGGAGGGATTCATTTTACTGAACCATATTTTGGAGTTTTGAAGCCCATCATGATCCTTGGGATGAGAGCCCTGGCTTGTTCAGTATACAACACAGAACCAATATAATATACAGTTTAGTTTTACATACATATTTTAGGAATATACATGGGAAGGAACCTGAGCTGCACTACTCAGGTTGAGAGTGTTTGCTCCAGAGCAGAGCAGCGTTTGTATATTTTATGAAGGTTAAGACTATTTGGAGTTGGACAGGAAATAATGCTCCTCTCTTACCATGCTGTAATTGAGAGCAATATTAGATATGGTGGTTTGGTTCGATAATTTGTCGGTCCAATTAAGTTTACAAATCACTTGTTTTGTCCACACAGCAGTGAACCTTATGGGAGTGAAGTAGCATTCCTTTATGTCGGTCATCTTTGAACAATCCGTGATTTGAAAGGCAGGAATATTCTTCCTTATTCTTCATTCTAAATATCAAGTTTTAGGGTTCCCAAATGTTCATCAATAAGATACAAATATTTATTTGTTCCTTTGTCGATTAAAGCAAGTAGTACAAATCAATGGCTAGGAGAACAAACGTAGATCTGTTCTGAATGTCACAATGTCACCTGCAGGTTTCTGGATGGACATCGGTCAGCCCAAGGACTTCCTGACAGGTATGTGCATGTACCTGCAGTCCGTGAGGCAGCACAGCCCTGAGAAACTGCGCACTGGATCTGGCTTCGTGGGAAATGTACTGGTGGTGAGTTAGATCCACACCCAGACACTGTTCAAGGGTCACACTCCAGAGCTGGAATACATCTAGAAACTCAGGATTTGATTGAGGCATTTGCAAATAAAAAAATACATTTGTAAAATGAGGACAACAAAGTAATACAGGAGAGTGTAAATAGAGGTTAGATGCAAATGTAATTAGAACAAAGAATAATGTGTTGCTCTTAGATAGAGTGGTAGATGTTTGGAACCTCTTCCCATTGGAGTTGATTCAAAAAGCACATTAATGGGACCCTTCTTTAAACAAGCTCTTGAAAATGAAGAACTAAATAGTTCCTTTTTGTCACATTTTAAATTCTACAAAGTCGGAAAATACGTCTTCTTATTAGTTTTTCATTCTGTCCTTGTTAATGCTTGTGTTTGGCATTCTTGCGATAAAAATGTCTTGCAGACAATAGTACTTTATATGAAATGAGAAGTATCAGACACAAAGAGGACATCATTTGACCCATCTTATGCATCCAGGTTGTATAAACACATTAGTGTTAGAACTCTTATGTGTCACCTTAGCAGTTTGTACCAGAGAAATTGCTTCATAGTCCCAGATATCAATCTACATGCACTTAAATGAAGTTTGTTACCTATTGTCTTAGTAGTGTTCATGTTGAGAATGAAGTGGTGGCATATGTTTGTTCTTGAATGCTTATTTCATATTTTTAGTAGATTATAACCCTTCACAAATTAGGGGCTGTTTAATCCTGGTCCTGGAGGTACTATGTGTTTGCAGGTTTTCTGGGTCTCTTGCAGCTGTACCCAAAGAACTGGAAGAAAATGTAAAATTTGTCCAATTATGCCAGCTGAGTTATAATAATTAGCAGAAAACACCTGCCCTCCAGGACCACGATTGGCTGTCATAGAAGCCTGTTTTTGCTCTGCAGTTTCCCTGTAATTTCATATTTCTCCCACAAGAGGGCAACAAGCACTACCTTTTCATTTAAATGATTGCCAAGGAAGTTGTTTGCTTTGACTTTGGTACTGTAGTGTAATTTTAGATACAGTCTGGATCTACTACTAGTAGAATAATTAAAAGAATACATACATGTGGAGGAAATAGAATTAGCTTTCTCTGTGAGTGTTTTGTAAGTATGTTTGAGTATTCTTGCTTGAATATAAACCAGAATAATTACTTGTGTTTTGTGATTATAGAATATGGTTTTTATTTCCTTTGCTCATGGATTAGTTTCTAAATCCAGTGATAATGATCATTAATGCTGGTATATTGGTGTTGTCCTGACCTGTCAATGCAGGATGAGCAATTATTGATGCCCCCCTCTTCCTCTCTCTAAGGACCCCACTGCTCAGATCGGGGAGAACTGTACCATCGGGCCTAATGTGACATTGGGGGCAGGCGTGGTGCTGGAGGATGGGGTGAGGATTAAGCGCTGTACAGTGCTGAAGGGGGCCCGGGTGCACTCCCACTCCTGGCTGGAATCCTGCATCATAGGCTGGAGCTCTTCTGTGGGCCAGTGGGTAAGTTTCCCATCCTTCCCAGTCGACAGACCCACTGCTGACAGTTTGCATTTCCGAAATTAGCTCCTGCAGTGACGCCACAGAATACACTTTTTCACTTACAGACTGCACATGCTTATGACAGACGCAGATTGCTGTGTACATATATTGGCTCTACTGTGCACTCGCTTGTTAAAACTCAACTAGTCAACAGGAGTGTGGGTTTGGCTTGAGAAACATGAGGGACAGTTCCCCTGATCTATGGCCAGAACGATCTCTTTATCTTAATCATCACTGAAAACGTTTGGTTCAGTCCTTCACATTGTTCTGCTCACCCTGAATAATCACAAATCCATATTCTACATCTTGTTCCACAGAGAACTTCTTATTTGAATACTGTCGTATTTATAAGATTTAGTATAGATACAAAGAGCAGAAAGCAGTCACCTTTTAACCAGTTTTGTGTCAAACGTAGTCGCACAGGTCTTCTCTGCTGTACTACAGAGTTAGTTTTGAAAGCTGGAGGTGAACCTGTGCTGATGGAAGCGTGAAAACTTTTAAACAGGTGTTTAGCTCATTTAGCTTTCTTGGCTCCTGCCTATCATAGAGTCATCTCACATACAAGTTGTGTCCTCCTAATTTCTTTCTGAGGACTCCCTCACTGTCCTTGTCTGTTTCTCTAGAGCAAGGGTGTTAAATTCAATTAATCAAATCTATAATTCATTTGCTATGGTAGGTCACATTTAATTATGGAGTTAATTCAAGCAGGCCATTGATACCACGCATTTGTAGTACTTTATGCTTTTGGTATTTATTGCTTAAGGAAATACTTTGAAATGCAAGTAGCAGTCAATGCATAGTCATGAGATGGCGATTTAGTCATTACCCAATTTAGTATGGGATATTTAATAGAATACTTAGCTGTGAACCTTTAAAAGCAGAACTATCTATTATAATTACGGTATATTAAGGAAATCTCCTTTCTGTTAAATAATGATTGTTGCGTTAACTCATTCAATATTTGGATAGTATAAATGAGCAATTACAGTATATACAAGCACCCTCACTTTTTTCTACACCACAAGTATTTTCATACCTCTTTTTAAGACAAGACAAAGATTGAATCCTTGCTGACGGTCCAGATCAAAGCGAAGTGGGCCAGACCCAACCTGCAGATTGAATGCTTGACACCCCTGCTCTATACACTTGATATTTTCCCTTCCTTCTCTGCACTGTATCCTCATCTCTCTACATACGTTCTTATGCACTGGCACAGTGCAGCGCTATCAGTGACAGTGCCTTGTGTCTCCAGGTGCGGATGGAGAATGTGACTGTCCTGGGGGAGGATGTCATCGTGAATGATGAGCTCTACCTGAATGGGGCCAATGTGCTGCCCCACAAGTCCATTGCAGAATCCGTACCTGAGCCGCGTATCATCATGTAGGACAGGAGCTCACTGGACACAGGTGGCAGTGTGTCAAAGAGAGACCAAGCCACAGACTGACAAAGAGCCGAGGAGAGAGGCTGCCAGTGTTCAAATTCATGTGTAGCTGCTGTGGGGCCGAGGGATTTGGTTAAAGGTGTGTGTGCTGGTTGCTGTACAGGTGGGCATGAGAGCATGGTTGAGGTTTTTTTGGGAACCTGCATACTAATGAAAGAAAGGAGAAGAGCAAAGTTTGTGCATTTAGATTCAAAACTGTTCATCTCTGGTGATTTGCACATTTCAAGACTGCTGCTGAGGTTGCTGCCAGGGACAATTTTCAACAGTTTCCTTTAAATGTTTTTTTGTTGTTGTTGTAACAGACTCTGGGAATGATGGGGTGGAAGAGGCTTAATATCACATGGCCTTAAGAAGTTAACAGATTTAGTATTGTATTATATAAGCAGGTAGTTTACAACTGGAATTTAGGGACATGTTAGTTCTGGTAAAGTGGAAGTGCTTTCCTCTTGTTTCTAAAGTCTCTTAAATATAAAGTTATATTATATTAAGTTATATATTATAAAGTTTCTTCATGTTATGAATAATTCCGGAAAGGGAGTCAAGTATGATGAAGATCTAACACGTTTGACCTTAACCGAATTAGTCAATGAATGTTTAGTTCACAATCTCTAAACGCTAAAACAGGGATTAGTGGTATTGTATTGACGTGCATGCACAGTGACTGCTGTAAATGGGATGTCCTTGCTCAATTCTTCATGAGGAAGGCCAGCGCTAGGCGACTGCAAGTGTGTCTGTGTGTGGATGAGGGAGATAGGCATGTGTGGTTTAGGAATCAAGATGAATAAAAGTGTTAAACAGTGGCGGGGTGATGTGTAAAATACCATGAAGCAGAAGAATGAAGGAGTTTGGACAGAGGCAGCCTTGTACGATTTATAGAAAGCCGGGAGGGAACACCGCTCCTCTTCTCCCTGTGTCTCTCAGCACACACTGCACCGGGACCTCCACACTGTGGCACTCCTGCACCAGCAGCGCCTAAGACCTGGGAAACCAGCTTCCGAAAGCCAGCGTCAGCCACGAAAGCTGCCCCCAGAGAACAATGGACAGAAGTGAATCTGTAATGCAAATATTTTATGGAAGCATTTTTTTTAAATATAGATTATTGACCCATTCTAAAGCGCTCGTCTTATTCTTGAAGTTTAATGTGGTGCTTTTTCCCCAAGAAGGGTTTTTAACTGGATCTTCAGCTCCGGGGGAGGTTGTAGTGGACTAATTCTGTTCCTCTCCTGCATCTGCTTCTCTTTCTTTCTCTAGAGGGGACGCGGATTAAGACTGTTGTCCTCAACATCACTTTAATGTAACTGATTCCCCACGCACCTTTGTGTCTGAGTCACAGCTTACAGTCACTTTTTTTTCCCCGATTAGCCAGATATCTGTCGACTGTGATGTTCAAAGTTAGTTGATTTTTGATGGGAGAAAAAGAAGGTGAGCCCTTCAAGGTATCTTTATATTATCCAGTGTATATTACTGTTTATCTGCCTTTACAGCTCTACCTGACAGCTGGCTCACCCTCTTCTTTGCTTTATTACGGTGCACATACACATTGTGTTATCGGCGAAAAGAGCTGAAATGTTTTTGCCCTTAAGACTGGCTTCACACTTTACGTGACCCTCGCTCAAGATGTGAGTAACACTTGTGACATACAACACAGAAATGCCACCTGTGGTTTGTTCGAAGAAATATAGGGGGTAATCGGGTTATTGTGGGACTGGCACAGTTTACAATAGCATAGGTGCGATTAATCTTGTTTAATGTCAGCAAATGGGTGACATGTTGGAATGAATGGATGAATGCTGGAAATGTAATTGTGGAAAGACAAACACCTATATAATGGACAGTATTGGACATATAGAAACGAAACAAAATGGGCATGTAATGCAGCCTATATTAAGCAAATTCTTCACACACAGTTTACAGAACATATCCAAAGCCAAATTAATCCATTGTTGAGTGTATTAATATTTGGCATGTGAGCTGTTCAAAATATTTAGCTTTGCACCTTGTTTTCATACTTCCACATACGTGATCAATGAAGAATTGTAAAATATTGTTCCAAATATCCTATAACACTTTCCACAATTTATCCCTGTGGTTTGGTTGCTGCTTAACTATCTTGGCATCCATGTAATCCTGCGTGGTCTTGATGATTTTGGTATCAGGATTTTGTGAAACTCCTAACAGGTTCCAACATTCTAAAAACACTTATGTTCCAAATATGATTTTTACTCCATGTGCTTATCATGCTTAAATACTCATCTCTGTCCAGTTTAACATGTTACTGTGGGAATAGCTCATAAATGAGGGAATAGAATGATTTTATGTATGTCTCTGACATCTTCAATATTCTGTTCTTGTATTTGTCTGCTCCCATGCTTTACTTAAGCTGTTTTACACTGACTGTAGTATCACTCTCAAGTCCTCCTTTGAAAAGCTGCTTTTGATTAGAACCAAACAGCACAAACAAGGACTCATCAGTTGAGCGCTTTTTTTCCATGTTCCAATATCTCTTTGAGGAAGGTCATTCTCAAGATCTCTACAGAATTTATTTACCACACAGAGACTTTACTCTGTTTTATATCACTTGTAGATAGTACTGTAGACAAGCCACAGTTTTACAGACCCTTCAGGGTTTTGGTAATATGTAAACCATGAAGTTGGCTTTCACTCTGCTCAAAGCAATAGTCTCCTAGGCCGAAAAAGATTACATATGCTTAGTATATGACGTGATTTGCTTCTTGGGTATAATCATTTTCATGACAAGTTTTAAATTCTACAATCTCGCCAGTGCCTATACGTTTGGAACAATTTGTCAGGCAGGTCATAGTTAAAGACATGGGGCTGCATGTTGACCTGATCAAGGTAGTTAAGGACTGTGGCATTTCTGTACTGATCTAGGTATTGTTAATTTACTTTTAAAGAATGCAGGATTTTTACAATTTTAAACTGGACACCTTTTTACATATTCTTGTAAAAGCCTCTTAAGCTGGGTGGCAGGATGAGGGATGGTTGCACTGCTGCTAACAGCTCTTGGGTTCTCTCTGGATTTGGGGCTCTCTGTGTGGAGTTGAACATTCTCCCTGAGTCTCTTCTGGGAGATGCCGTTTTGCCCATTTGTGGTTAATTTGTCTCTCTAAACTGTCTCTGTGATAGACTGCCATCCCAATCAAGGCAGAGTCAAAGTAACCAGTGGTTTCCTGAAGACAGATCAAAAGTAGAGCAAATATTAAAAGGGAGACGTTTTTTTAATAACCAAATACACCAAATGTTCTAAATGCGAAAACATCTCGAAATCTAAAATAAGAGCACTATGTCATTTGCAGTCTTGTTTTCTGTGTCCTTTGCCAGGTTTATGTTACCTGTGCGGCATGGTGTGAGTGTTATTTGTCTTTCCCGAGTTATTGATCAGGGCAAATGACCGTTCGTGTATCTCTATAAATAAATGCACTGTATTATCATTGGTTTTGGCTGCATAGAAAGGCAAGGGAGAATTTCTGTTATCCTTCCTCTTGTTTTCCGAGAGGCTATTTCTGTAGATGATCTATAAAATCCTGAACCACTGCCTGGGCATCTCGTTTCCCGGCTCCTATTGATTGCAGCAGGGGCTCTGCTCTTTGAGACTGCTGCTGACTTTGCTACACTACAAATAGGACAACTCGTGAAGCAGGACTACCCTGGCCCCTGTTGGTACCTGTTCAGCGTTTGTTGAATGGCTTAACACAGGGCCTAAAACACAGCCTGGTTTATCCACATTGTGAATCAATAGAAAAGAGCCTTAGCTCATTTCAATGCTTCATTTCAAGTTTTCATTTCATAGAACTGCACTATTTTGTCCTTCTGTTTACCTCCAGGTTTACAGCACAGGGAGTGCTGAGCTCAGGTTAATGAGCAGAAAGTATTTTCAAAAAACAGTTTACATTTAGAAATGGGTTGAAGTTCTAGCAACAACTTTATGCCTGCGTAACCGTTTATTGAGATGTGAGAGTGCAGGCTTACCGATAGCACCTTTTAAAGTCCGCTGGGCGGGGGGCTTTTGGCTGATATGCTCCCTCATTTTGGAAGTTTCTCCCAGTTAACATCAGAAAGTCTTGAGACACTTGATATTTTTAAAGGCCAATCTTTTTCAATAATTGAAAATCTCTTTGTAAACGGTTTTTGGAAGTGGGTTTGTTTTTGTGTATGTCTTTATTTTTGTATTTATTTTGTAAATGCATTATGGACCACCTTGGTGCAAAGAGGCATATGTATAAATATATTTATATTGTACTGTATTGCAACAAAGCTTCTATTCAGACTTGGAATTTTATTATATAATTATATAATATATATATAATTACTCATTTAGTGTCAGTATACAGGATATAGTTCCCCATAAAGCGCCACAGTAACAGATGTCATTTACTTACAGATATCATGTGGTGAACTAGACTTTCTCATCTCGTTTTTTAGGAGTTCCACCAGGCTACAGAAACAAGCGAGGGCTATATCAACATTAAACTTCTGAGTTATAGTGGAATTGTAAAATGATATGAAGTAGATAATTTAACTATCTGTAGAATTAAAGTATTATTAATATAATTATTAATATATTAAAAAC